AAATCTCTCCCTCCCACACCTTGTTGCTCCATGTGTGGTAAATTACATTTTTCAGGATTCTGTAGGGTGGTTGTTATGAAATGGGCGGTGGTGGACACACAGCCAACATCATGGAAACAAGCGTATTAAAATATAATCAAAAGAAACCCATAGAAAGAGCTGACATTCAAAGCAACAACTCAGATATAAAAGCTCCGGTTTGTTTCTCATGTCTTCATCACTAGACACCTAAAGCATTGACGGAACGGGAAGGGTGGATTTTCAAAGGGGGGGGAGTGGGCATTGGTAAAAGTTCCACATCTGGGAAAGGATGGTTTTACAAGAATGCGGGTGGCGCTGTGGGTTAAACCACAGAGCCTAGGACTCGCCGATCAGAAGGTCGGCGGTTCGAATCCCAGTTTTCCAGGTCATGTGACAGGGTGAGCTCCCGTTGCTCGGTCCTTGCTCCTGCCCACCTAGCAGTTGATAAATAGGTACCACTCCGGCGGGAAGGTAAACGGCGTTTCCGTGCACTGCTCTGGTTCGCCAGAAGCGGCTTAGTCATGCTGGCTACATGACCCTGAAGCTGTACGCCGGCTCCCTCGGCCAATAAAGCGAGATGAGTGCCACAACCCCAGAGTTGGTCACGACTGGACCTAATGGTCAGGGGTCCCTTTACCTTTATGGAGAGTCCTGGAGTTTGATCTAGCTCAGCATCTTCTTCTAGCCATGTTCAAAAAGATGCGCAAGCAGGAAGCCCACAAGCAGGTTCTGAGTGCGTAAAAACATAAGGAGAGATCCTCCTAGATTGGGCCAATGACCCCATCTAGTCCAGCATCCTGATTTCACAGCAGCCGCCAATCAGGTTGCCTGTAGGCAGGGCCGCCCCAAGACATTTTGGCGTCTGAGGCAAATGGCAAAATGGTGTCCCCCTCTCTCCCCATCAGGGAATAATGGGTGAATGAAGATCTACATCAGGAACAAGGGAAGGGGAATGAATATCTACATCTGGTTCTGGTTATATATGTATGTCACTACAGCAGCAAAAATGTTGATTGCACAAAATTGGAAGACTGGAGAAATACAAACTAAAGAACAGCGGTAAGAGAAGTTGATGAACTCTGCAGAACTGGCAAGAATGACAGAAAGACTAAAGAGAAAAAGACAACAGAGACTTTGAAAAAGAATGGGAACCATTTATATTATATTTGCAGAAACAAAGAAAGGCAATAGACTTGATGTCAGGATTTAAATAAACATTCACATTATTAGCTTCAGAAAATGGTGAAATAAGATGATGTATTTAATTTTATTTTTATGTTTTTAAGGTTTGGTGTTATGTTATTAATAACTTTTTCTGTTGAGAGATAGCAAAGCGGGTGAAAATAGAAACCAACCAGAAACGCAAGCCGGGGAAGTATTGGAGGGGAGGGAGGGAGGAATATATAGCAAAGGTTAAGAATCTGAGGTGTATGTAATATTAAAGAATATATACATCTGGATCCTGCTGCCCGAGGCAGTTGCCAGACCTGCTTGTAGGAATCAGAGCACAATTCCAACACTCTCCTCTCCTGTGGCTTCCAGTAATCAGCATTCAGAATCATTGCTTCTGCATAACTCTGTGCTCTGCGTGAGTTAGACCATTTGCTCCCCAAGCTCAGCATTGCATACCCTCCAACATTTCTCCAAAGAAAATAGGGACATTCTATTCAATAATAATAATAATACTCCACCCATCTGACTGGGCTGCCCCAGCCACTCTGAGTGGTTTCCAACAAATATAAAAACATAATAAAACATTAAACCATAGCTGTCAACTTACAGATTTGAAAATAAGGGACCAGCAGCCTCGAAAATAAGGAATCAGCAGCCAAAATAAGGGATCAACAATTACTTTGATAAAATACATATGTTGTTGCGTGCAAATGGCTTTAGATACCTATTAGGTCCATAAATTACCATATAGCATATATTCAACACACAAAAAAGCAACAATTTGTTGTTGACAAAGCACAGCTGGACATAGAAAGGGCCCCATTACCTTCAGTAGCTTATTTAAGAGACATGATCAATACGGGACAGCAGCGGGACATGGCGCTGGGATAAGGGACTGTCCCGCCAAATAAGGGACGCTTGACAGCTATGCATTAAACATTTAAAAAACTTCCCTCGGCAGGGCTGCATTCAGACGTCTTCTAAAGGTTGTATGTTTACTTATCTCATGGGTCGTATAATTCCGTACCCTCCAACATTTCTCTGATGAAAATAGGGACATCCTAAGGAAAAGCGGGACATTCCAGGATCAAAGCAAAAACCGGGACAGCTTCTGTGAATCCAGGACTGTCCCTGCGAAATAAGGACACTTGGAAGGTCTGGTATTGTCTGCACTGCCTGGGAATGGATTTCCAGGTTTCCAAACAGCTCTGAAGATGCCTCTGGGGACTGAATGAAATGTGTCCTGTTAATGACTTGCATGGCCTGAGTACAGTCAGGTTTTGCCACCAGGGAGCTTTTATGAGAGAGGGAGGTGACTAAATTGGCTGGCCTTTGTGCATTACTTGTAGCAGATGCTGAGTGGGCAGATCAGGTTCACCAAAGCGAGCCAGGGGATGGAGCAAGCCTCCTAAGGAGGGAGTCTGCAGCGTTTGGGTGGCGCTGTGGTCTAAACCACTGAGCCTAGGGCTTGCTGATCAGAAGGTCGGCAGTTCTGAGCTCCCGTTGCTCGGTCCCTGCTCCAGCCAACCTAGAAGTCTGTGTGTGTGGTTTGGGAGCTGCACGGCCAGGGGAAAAACAATGCTGTCCAGGGTTGTAAAGACTGCGGAGAGAATAATTGGGTGCACTCTTCCCACCTTGGATCAAATCTATGCTTCCAGGTGTCACAAGAAAGCTGCAGAGATAGCGCAGGATAGTGCTCACCCCAGAAATGATCTCTTTCAGCTTCTGCCTTCTGGAAGAAGGTACAGGGTTATAAAGACTAGGACTAGCCGCCTGAGAAACAGTTTCTACCCAAATGCGATTTTGGTTTTAAACACATTGTAAGGAGTCTGTATGGGAACATATTGTATTTAAAAATGGGGTATCAGAGTTTTTAGGGGGCTAACCAGGTTGGGATAGCTGGCATAGCAGGCTTGTTGAGTTTTGAATGTCTTATGTAGATTTTTCAATTTCGTTGTTCTGTATGGGACAATGACAATAAAGATTATTGTATTGTATCGTATCGTTCAAGTAGATAAATAGGTACCACTCTGGAGGGAAGGTAAACGGCATTTCTGTGCACTGCTCTGGTTCGCCAGAAGCGGCTTAGTCATGCTGTGGACAAAAGCCAGCTCCCTTGGCCTATAGAGCAAGATGAGCATGCAAACCCAGAGTCATCCACAACTGGACCTAACGGTTAGGGGTCCCTTTTCCTTTATTTTAGTTCAGAGAGAAGGCAAGGTAACCTGCTAGAAGTTTTTTCAAAAGAGAAAGTTGAGAGAGAAAGGTTTTCCTCCTCTTCTCAACATGCGGGCATCTCATGAAGAGTCGGGGGCAGCAAAATAAAGTCCTTTATCCTTCATACAGCACATAGATTAACTATGGAACTCCTTGCCACAGGAGGCAGTGATGGCCACTGACCTAGATGGCTTTAAAAGAGGACTGGAGATATTCTTGAAGGACAGGGCTATGGGTGGCTCCTACTAGCCATAGCTGGAGGAAGAAAGGCCTCTGAAAACCAGTAGCTGGGAACCCCAGGAGTGGTGAATGCTCTTCTGTTTGGGTTCTGCTTGTGGGTTTCCCTTGGGGGCACCGGGTTGGCCTTCCCTGAGGTTGCTTCCAGACAACCACTTGGTCCACAATTTGTTCTGATTTGTTTGTGCAGGGTAGGCAAGGAGGTTATGCAACAGAGCAGCAAACAGTTGCTATTCCACATTTTCCAATTACATTTTCCTATTACTTTCCTTACCAAAAAAATTCTGTTTTAAAATAATAATAATAATAATAATAATATATAATAATATATGATCATTTGAGTCCAGCAAATGGATTCTTCCTTAACAAGGTGTTGGACTAGATGATGATGATGATACTAATAATAATAATAATTTATTTATACCCCACACTTCCCGGTTCTCAGGGCAGCTAACAACAAATTTAAAACACTTTAAAACACTTAATTATAAAACCCTCAGGGTCCCTTCCCACTTTACAATTCTACAGGAAAGGTGGGGGGAAGTTGGCAAAGGCCATTCTTCAGTGGTAGCCCCTCTGCGTTGCAAGGAGAGGGTCTTGCATTCCAACCCCAGTGCCAATCAGTGTAAACAGTACTGGTGTCAGGCTCCTGGCTGGCTAAGTGCTGAAGCTTTTATTCCAAAAACCACTGTGCAACCTCAGCGTGGACCAAGCTGCAGGTTACACAATCCTGTGGTTCAGAGCAGAGCTCTAAGTTTGACCACTGCAGGGCTAGATATCTCCTGGGTCCCTTCTATGATAAGCTGGTAGGCACAAACTAAGTCTATGGGCAGAGCCGCGCATTTAAAGCGCACAACTCCCCACCCCCCAATACTGGGAACTGTAGTTTCTTGAAGGCGCCGGGAACTTTAGCTCTTTGCACTCTGCACATGGCTTCTCTAAAGCATCCCAGGAACCATAGTTTCTGCTGCAAAGAGCTAAAGTTCCCAGCGCCTTCAAGAAACTACAGTTTCTCCCAGGATTCGGAGGTAGGGGTGGGGAGTTGTGCGCTTTAAATGCGCAGCTCTTAAGGGAGTGCAACCGGTTCAGTCACACTGGGCATGGACTCCTGGGGGTACAACAACTATTAGAGTGGAGTAAGAGAAGTGGGGCTGCCAAATTTTGATGTCGCCCGGGGCACCGCTGAAATCTGAGACCCCAGGGTCTGCCACTACCGTATGCTCTGCCCCAGCACCTGACACGCCCCCTCGGTCCTCATTTTGGAGAGTTGGGTGGGCCCAGCCATTTGCACATTTCGGGTCCTGAGAGAGAGAGCGCTGGGCAGGAGAGCAAGGACTCCTGCAAGCAGACAGAGTTCTGTAGCTCCATGGTAGAGCATCTGCCTTGCGCACAGAGGGTCGTGGGTTCAAACCCCCAGGGCATCTCTGGGTATGGCTGGGGAAAACTCCTCCTGGCTGAAATCTTGAAGAGCAGCTGTCAGACAGTGTAGACAAGGGGTCAGCAAGCTTTTTCAGCAGGGGGCCGGTCCACTGTGCCTCAAACATTGTGGGGGGCCGGAATATATTTTGGGGGGAAATGAACGAATTCCTGTGCCCCACAAATCTCAGAGATGCATTTTAAATAAAAGCACACATTCTTCTCATGCAAAAACACGCTGATTCCTGGACCACGCTGATTGAGAAGGCGATTGGGCCGCATCTGGCCCCTGGGCCTTAGGTTATCTACCCCTGGTGTAGATGATGCTGAGGTCATTGGCCCACAGGGCTGAGGCCATAAGGCAGCTCCCTATGTCCCTAAGAGCATAGAAGCAGCAACCAGAATGACCAGAGCAACTTCCAAAAGAGAAGGCACTGTTTGGAGCCTTTTCATTTGGAAGAAATATGAGCGAGAGAAGATGCAACAGAGTCGCAGGAAATTATGCACATTGTAGATGGAGAGAAGCTTTTCTCCCCCTCCACACCAGAACACTAAAAGGCAGGGACCATCCAGAAAAGCTGAAGGGTGGAAGAAACAAATGGAAGGACTCCTTCAGCTACAGCATGGGAGACCACAAGGTAGTCATCAGCAACTTCACTGGGAGATAAGGTGAACAATGACTATCAGTTGTAATGCATTTACGGAGCCTCCAGGGTCAGGAATAGTCTACCGCTAAACACCTGCCAGTAGTGATGTATGGAAGTGAGAGCTGGACCATAAAGAAGGCTGATTGCCGAAGAATGGATGTTTTTGAATTCTGGTGCTGGAGGAGACTTTTGAGAGTCCCATGGACTGCAAGAAGATCAAACGTATCCATTCTTAAGGAAATCAGCCCTGAGTGCTCACTGGAAGGACAGATCCTGAAGCTGAGGCTCCAAGACTTTGGCCACCTCATGAGAAGCGAAGACTTCCTGGAAAAGACCCTGATGCTGGGAAAGATGGAGGGCACAAGGAGAAGGGGACGACAGAGGGCGAGATGGTGGGACAGTGTTCTCGAAGCTGCCAGCATGGGTTTGACTAAAGTGCGGGAGGCAGTGGGAGACAGGAGTGCCTGGCGTGCTCTGGTCCAGGGGGCCACGAAGAGTCGGACACGACTAAACGACTAAATAACAACGGACACGAAGGAGAAGCCTGGGAGCAGGGAACCGCTGACCATCAGTGTTCTAGAGGATACAGTTAAACCCTCCTTGCGTTTCACCCCCCTCCTCTCTCTTACGGAATTAGCAATTAGCTTTCCTGCATGTCAGAGAACCGGCGCCAAATGTCAACACATCTAGTGGGAAGCAGGTGCCGCAGATTTAACTGAGATACTCGTAATGGGAAAGCACATTAACCTCTTTCTAAAAAACCCTCAGAGCAAACTGTAATCATGTGCGCGTTGCATTTCATCATGAGGGCATCTGGAACTTTGATAGTATTTTAATGCAGTTCTGAGATAGGGAGACGGCGCGCTCCTTTGTCAACGTGGCAGGCTCCACATTCTGTCCATAGATCTACCTGCCTATTCTTTGCAAGAACTGCCCCCCCCTCAAAAAAAAAAAAACCCTCACAGTGGAGCTGCATTTGCTACAGATCTCCCTGGTCTATTGGATGCCTGCAGAGGCGCAAGTGGCGCAATGTGCATCCTATCGTAAAATTGACTATAATCGGCTGAATTATACGGTGCAGAGAAAGCGGCAGACAAAAGACTGCAAACATTCAGCCGCAGAAATGCAAGCCCGGAGAGGCTGCCGAGCAGAAGCGGAAGAAGTTTGTTTTGGGGGTTCAAATTTGCCCTCAGAACACAGCTTAAAACATTTATCTCTCTGCGTGTGGCCCAAAAAGCATTGTTCTTCAAACAGTCGCTTCTGGGAATAAACCTTTAATATAAAGTTCCAAAGTTTTTCAGGGTTTTTTTTTAAAAAAAATCCTTTTTCTTTTTGTTCAGAAATGGAGTTTTAAAATAGCTACTGTGGGATTCTGGAAGACTGAGCGTGGAATCCTATGTATGGCTACTCGGAAGTAAGTCCTGCGCCCTTCACCGCAGCTTGCTCCCAGGTAAGCGCGCATAGAACTGAAGCCTAAAGGAACTTGGATTCTAAGTTGGAGAGATTTCCGTAGGAAATGCGCAGTTGTCTTTGAAGGGATTATTCCCTTTGCAAGACAATGGAACGGGGGAGAGCAGAAAAATTGAGAGCCTGCTGTGCTTTTTGATCCCAAGGGGCAGGTCTCCTGTTAACGAAATAGTTCTAAAACAAACCTTTCAGAGCCGGCTGCTGAGAAATATCCACAGGAAGGAAAAGGGAAAAAAAAGCAAACATTGCGACAAATATTTTCTTTCTATCTTTTTTTTTTTTTTAAAAGCAATATATGCATTATTTGCAAAATGCCACCTTGTTCCGGCTAATACATTTCAATACATAGAGGAATTTCCACCCGCCCTTCTCTCTCAAATTGGGTGATTTTTTCTGTGTCCTCCGCCACCCAAAAGCGTTTTTTCTTTAAAAGGGAACAAAAAGTAGCTAGTTTATCAAAAGACAAATCCTCCTTCAACGAACCCGGTTCCAAACAATCTCTGTTCAAAGAGAAGGCGTGCTTTCGACTCTGCTGTCGGACCAAAAACAAATGTTTAAGCGGCTGATCTCCTTGAAGGAGAGGTTAAGGCGGAGAAGGAGGTTCGCCACCGGAGAACCATAAAGCCCCCCTCCCTCCCCAGTTCCGACCCCCCCCCAGGTCCTTCCCACCCCAAACCTGCCAGTTCCAAAGCTCTGGGTTGGTTTCGAGAGCATGCAAAGCCAGGAACTCACAAGCCCCGCCAAGACAAAGAGGAGAGGCTGGCAAATCACAGCTAGCAGACGCCTACCTGCCCGGGTGTGATGCCTGGGTTGCACTGTTCCGTCTGATGTTCGAGCTTTGCACTGTGTTCTCTGCCGGAGTGGCCCCCTCTATATGTACACGCAGGCACACACACACACGCACAAACCTTGCCAGCCCATTAACATGTGGATCGGTGAGTCCAACCCTCTGAAGGAGCCACCTGACTGATCCACTGGCTTAGCAGCTGCGCGCCCCTTGGCACCCACCGGAGAAACCTTCCCGGAAAGTGTTTGTCACACTCCAGGAAGCTGGGACAATGGCACAGGGGCATCACCGGCAGCCCTAAAAGTGAGGCTTCCGATGGGCTCGGGCTTCTCTGGCTCTGCGACGCTGCTCGCTCAGGCATCGCTGGTGAGGTTCCCTGGGAGTCCCGTGCTTCCAGACCTCACCGGGCGCTGCCTTGTGGCGGCTCTGGTTATTTGCCCATTGGGGCCAGAGTTGCCTGCTCAGGCTGGCAGCAGCTGCGGGAGGAGGGCTGCAGAGGAGGGTCCCAGAGTCAATTCTGGTGTCTCCAGGTAGGGCTGCGAGAGACTCCTCGACTGAAATCCTGGACAGCTGCTGCCGGTTGGTGCAGACAATACCATGCAGATGGGCAAATAGTCTGATGCAGTCAATGGAAGCTTCTTCTGTCCCTCTCTCCAGCAACTGAGGCACCCGCTGCCCTCCATCGCCTGCTTCCTGAGCCTTCTGACTGAGACACACTAAGCACAGGAAGCTGGAGGCTTCTGCATTCAAAGCATAGGTTCTGCCACTTAGCTCCTGTCCCCTGCCTAAGAGCCAACAGGGTGGAGTGGTTAGGGGTGTGTGGTGGGAAGCCCTGAGTTCAAATCCCACTTCTGCCACCAATTTACAAGGTGGCCTCAAACAAGATTCTGTGACTCGGTGCTTCCCATATAAAGCAAAGGTGTGTGGGGGGGGGACCTGTGGCTCTCCACGTGCCTTTGGACTCCACCTCCCATCAGCATGGTCAGGGATTATGGGTATTGTAGTCCTGAAATATCTGGGGGCCCACAGCTGCCTGATGCCAGCAATAAAGGTCTTGAGGTCCTGCTTGAGGCCTTGCCATAGCCACCTGGTTGGCACCTGTGAGAATGGGCTACTGGACTAGATGGGTCATTGGCCTGATCCAGCTGCCAAGACTCTCTTGTTCCAGCGGCCACAATCCCAGGAAATGGCTTTGACTGGCCGGCTAAACCAGGTGAGTTTTGGACTTCCCCTGCTCAGCAGATGAACAAATGAGACCAAGAGTGGGTTCAATTATGATTATGATTATTAATTTATTATTTATACCCCGCCCACACTGGGCGGCTTCCAACAAAATATCTGTGGGAATGTTCAGGGATGCAGGAGAGGATATATTGTCTGATAATAGCCTTTCCAACTTGTCTTAACAAGTTCACAACTTAGCAGAGTAACATTCCCCTTTTTAAACTCACAGCGGATGCGTTAGCTCAGGCTCGCTAAAGCCTCTATAATAACTGTTCTGGTATTTCCCCCTCATTCCCTCATAAAAGATAAGACATGACACAATCTTCTATAAAAGTATAAAAAGGTTTACTCAACACATCCTTCTGTTCACAATAAGATCCCAGAAGGCAGACTTAGCTTAGAAAAGTAACATATACCTAGAAACTATCTCTTAAGGAGACAGTTCCTTTGTCCTCTCTTGGTTGGAGGCCAAGAGGGCATCTTTGGCTAAGCAGATGTTGCTTCTTTGATGCATGTTGTCAAAGAGAGGGAGATGGCTGTCCTGCCCTGTGCTTTTGTCGTTACCTGCACAGGTGAGGCCACACCCACCTCTAGTCACATGCAGAGGAAGTCTGTCCCAGCCCAGAAGGAAACAGGAAGTTCATCTGCTGGCTGGACAAACATTCCTCCCCAGGTGTAAACATGTTCACTCTAGGAATGTTTACTTGACTGCTCTTGTGTTTCACATCCCACAATATTAAAATACAGTAATGCATCAAACATTAAAAGCTTCCCTAAATAGGGCTGCCTTCAGATATCTAAAAGTCTGGTAGTTGTTTATTTCCTTGACATCTGATGGGAGGCCGTTTCACAGGGCGGGTGCCACCACTGAGAAGGCCCTC